CCGGCCCTCCAGGAACAAGTTTGGTGACCACTGGTCTGGATGATCCTTTTCTTCCACACAGCACACAGGGTCCATTTCTCCCAAAATGTACCCATAATAATGATTCATCTGACAACAGTACAAGTTTTCAATGTGTAATGGTCCATCCCATATATAGTCAAGCCCACAAGTCAATGGCACTTCTGGACACTGTTAACATAGGGCTTCATTTAGGCATAGTACAGTTTTCACTGGCATTTGTGGATGTAACTATGTATTGTGGTACTTGACAAAGGTTTGCCAAAGTAGATATCGCTTATAGATGAATGACGATTCTTGATGCAGTGCCACCTGAGGGATCAAAGATGTTCAGCGTAGGCTTGCGCTCTTGTCCTTTAAGCACTGAAATTACTCCAGATTCCTTGAATGTATTAATTATGTTATGCACTGTTGAAGGTGATATTTCCAAATGTCTTCTTATCTTTCTTTGAGGAACATTGTTTTTAAACAAATTCAATGATTTTCTCATGTATTAGTTAACAATCTGGCGATCTTCAGCCCATCTTTGCTTCTAATGAGCTAGACCTTTCTTGCATGCTGCTTTTGTACCAAATGATAATTACAATCACCTGTTGACATCACCTGTTTCAAATCTCATCATTTAACCAATTAATAATAAACAAATAAATACATAATCCTATCCCAACTTTTTTTGGAATGTGTTGCAGGTCTGAATACAACCCGGGCTCATTGTGGAAACGTGGCCCCGCGGACGTTTCTGCGGACCACGATTTACGTCCCGGGAGGTACGTATTCGAGCGTTTTTTGTTTTCGCGGATTCGCGAGAGGCCGCTGTGCGCGCTTTTTCGCGTCTCGGGCGGGCGCCTCTCGGGAGCGCGCGGCGTTCGCGCCCGCGGCGTTCTCGCGCGAAAAGCCGCCGGATCGAAAAAAAAAAAAAAAAAGCAAAAGCCCTCGTCTTCGATTTCGACCGCGTTTTCGGATCCCGCCGCGTTCTCGCCCTTATTTTTCGGATTCCGTTTTTCGTCTTACCTGATTTCCGGAACCTGCTGTTCCCCGGACTCGATCCCGGTCGTCGTCCACCGCGGCTGGCTCCGGCTCCTCCTCCGGGGCCTCCACTCTGCCGACGCAACGCTATGAGCTAAGCGGACAAGCTGATTGCATCGGGAAAGCCCTCCATTCGGAGGCAAGCCGTCGGCCGGCGAGCGCGAAGAGGAAGGGCGGAGCGGCGCCACACCACCCCGCAGCGTTCGCTCGAAAAAAACCAAACGCGGCCTTTACGTACCTCCGGTCACGTAAATCGCGGTCTCCAGAAACGTCCGCGGGGCTACGTTTCCAGAATGAGCTTGGGTTGTCTGAATAACATGGAAAGGATGTATGTTTGCCAATGAAATATTGTTTTAAAATATTGAAACATTGTGGCTACTGAAATGCTGCGGTGTATGCATATTAATGATCCTGTGTACAGAGTAACAGTCTATGTTTTGTTCCGATTAGCCCTTTTTTTTTATTTATTTTTTTATGGAACTTTATACTGACAGAATTTACATTGTGGACGTTGACAATAGTGTTTGAAGCTTAAAGTATGACATTCCCATGTGTTATTATTCAGCTAGGCATATCCAGATTTTCTATATTAGGCACTTAAAAAGACTTGTGTTTAGGAATTACTAAATCATTAACATTTTCTAATAGGATACTGAAAAGAACAGCTCTTATTACAAGATGCATCTCCAGTTATGCAATCACCCATATGTAAACTGTCAAGATGCTCATATCTGCATATTAATGTAACGCTTAAGAGGAAAACTGGATGGGCAGATTTGGCTTGCGGTCTGTGATAGAGGGCTTAGGGAAGCTTAAACATGTAATGCAGGTGAGCTGGAGGGATGTTGCTTAAATTGGCACAGGAATGAGGTAACCACTTCTATATGCATGCAGCTGCATCGTGATTGGCAGGGTTTGGTGCACAGGCTCCTCCCAGTGCTTTGTTTGGGAAAGGGAAACATGTTGGATGCACATGCTCTTCCATGATAGAGCTTTTCTGAAGAGTGTGTTGAGTACTTGAGCATTAATTATCAAAGCGTTGAGGGAAATAATGTTCTGACTTCTGTTTAAATGAACACGGTGGGCTGTTGAGACATCTTCCTGCAATGCTCATCCATTTATTAATTTTCTTTTCAGCTTAGTCCCTTTATTAATCCAGGGGGCGCCACAGCGGAATGAACCTTAAACTTATCCAGCACGTTTTCACACAGTGGATGCCCTTCCAGCTGCAACCCATTTCTGGGAATCATCCACACACACTCATTCACACTCATACACTACAGACAATTTAGCCTACCCAATTCTCCTGCCTACCGCATGTCTTTGGACTGTGGGCGAAACGGGAGCATCCGGAAGAAAACCCACGCAAACGCTGGGTGAACATGCCAACTCCACGTAGAAACGGCAACTGACCCAGCCGAGGCTCGAACTAGTGACCCTTTTGCTGTGAGGCGACAGCACTACCTACTGCGCCACCGTGTCTTCCTGCAATATATGTGTTATTTCTGTGTGTGTGTCTATGAACAAAGCAGTTGAACTGCTTAGTATTTACTAGTTAAATACGTATTTTTATTGATCAATTGATTAATTTGTTCATGTTTTTGTGATGAATAGCTAAATCATTTAATGCATCACTTCTCAATACACATATAAATATCTTAAAGTAAATAAATGTCTTTCTGTCGTTCGGATTAGACGTTAAACCAAGGTCCTGAGTTTCTGTGGTCGTTTAAAAATTCCCAGGATGTCCTTTAAAAAAGAGTAAGGGTTTAACCTCGGCATCCTGGCCAAATTTGCCTACTGGCCTCTGTTAATCATGGCCTACTTACCTTCACCATATCATAATTGGCTTCATCACTCTGTCTCCTCTCCACCAATCAGCTGGTGTGTGTGGTGTGGTCTGGCGCAATATGGCTGCCGTAAGGTCATCCAGGTAGATTCTGCACACTGGTGATGGATGAGGATTGTGTAAAAGTGCTTTGAGAGTCTAGAAAAGTGATATATAAATGTAAGAAATTATTATTATTATTATTATTATCATCATCATTATTATTATTAATTATTATTATTATTATTATTATTATTATTATTATTATTGTAAATAAATAAAATCTAACTGACTCAAACTTTTAAAATATTTTTAAAAAGAGTAAATTAATAGTAGACAACAGTAATTAATAATAGTAGACAACCATTAATTTATTAATAATAGAGTAATTACAGGGATAGTTATAGGAAAACAGCATTTTGGAATCGTTTACTTATCAGTTCCCCTTTGTTCCATACTTGCTTGAGTTTCTTCTGTTGAACACAAAAGATACTTTGAAAAATGTTGGAAACTGGTACTAATGGACTTCCATGATGTTTGTCCTTGGTTTATTTGTTTATTTATATATGTTTATTTATTTTCATCAACAGAACTAAATATTAAAAACCTAATAAAGGTTGATAAACCTAATACATTTTTAGGTGAACTATCCATTGATTGATTGATTAATGATGTGGTAAAGTATATGTATTTTATAGTGATTGATTTTATTTTGTACTATCACATTGAGCGTATGTGTATTTGTCATGGTTTGTCAGTTGGCCAAATTGTGCATGTCATGTTTAATATTGTATGTAGTCACATATAATACATTCTGTCCATGTTATATATACCTTTAGAAAACCATCATACATTTATATACTATTATATATTTACCATGTACCATTCAGGACCATATATACACTCGCTGACCACTATATTAGGGACACCTGTCCAACTGCTCGTTATCGCAAATTTCTAATCAGCCAATCACTTGGCAGCAACTCAACACTTTTAGGCATGTGTCAGGACGATCTGCTGCAGCTCAAACCAAGCATCAGAATAGGGAAGAAAGCGGATTTAAGTGACTTTAAACATGGCATGGTTGTTGGTGGCAGACGGGCTGGTCTGAGTATTTCAGAAACTGCAGATCTACTGGGATTTTCACACACAACCATCTCTAGGCTTTACAGAGAATGATCTGAAAAAGAGAAAATATCCAGCGGGCGGCGGTTCCGTGTGCACAAATGCCTTGTTGATGCCAGAGGTCAGAGGAGAATGGCCAGACTGGTTCGAGTTGATAGAAAGGCAACAGTAACTCAAATAAACACCTGTTAAAACCCAGGAATGCAGAAGAGCATCTCTGAACGCACAACACATCGAACCTTGAGGCAGATGTGCTACAAAAGCAGAAGACCACACTGGGTGCCACTCATGTCAGCTAAGAAAGGGAAACTGAGGCTACAATTCGCACAGGCTCACCAAAATTGGCCAATAGAAGATTGGTCTGTTGAGTCTCGATTTCTACTGTGACTTTCAGATGGTAGGGTCAGAATTTGGCGTAAACAACATGGAAGCATGGATCCATCCTGCCTTGTATCAATAGTTCAGGCTGGTGGTGGTGTTATGGTTTGTGGAATATTTTCTTGGCACATTTTGGGCCCATTAATAACAATCAAGCATTGTGTCAACGCCACAGGCTACCTGAGTATTGTTGCTGACCATGTCCATCCCTTTATGACCACAGTGTGACCATCTTCAGATGACTACTTCCAGCAGGATATCGCACCATTTCATAAAGCATGAATCAGCTCAGACTGGTTTCTTGAACATGTCAATGAGTTCACTGTACTCAAATGTCCTCTACAGTCACCAGAACTCAATCCAAAAGAGTACCTTTGGGATGTAATGAAATGGGAGATTCGCATGATGGATGAGCAGCCGACAAATCTGTAGCAACTGCGTGATGCTATCATGTCAATATGGAGCAAAATCTCAGGAATATTTTCAGTCCCTTGTTAATTCTATGCCACGAAGGATTAAGGTAGTTCAAAATTCAGTTCTAGTGAGGTGTACCTAATAAAGTGGCTGATGAGTATAGATTTTTATCATTATTATTCAAAGTGTTTTCTTTCTCTTTGTCTTGCAGGTGTTGGGCAGTCTTAGAGATCGTTCCCCAGATGTCCACGAAGTCACTGCTGGAAGAGAAACTCTTAAATAGCAGCACAGGACAAACAGAGACGACTCATCCAGTACACACATTCATCTACTCCAACATCTCCCTGGAGGAGTGAGTGCACACATGAACAAGCAAACATTGTATGCACATGCATCGAGGCTATTAAAAAATAACATAAAGATATCTCAGAAGATCTGTTGCTGCTACAATTTCCTTAGTTAGTCCATGTAGAAGGTGCAGTTTTTCATAGACTGAAGTCAAATCCCAATTCTAGTTTTTCAGTTTATGAAAAAAAACACACACACACACAACTGCAAGATACAAGTTTGGCTGTGCCACTTTAGGTTAGCTGTTTGAGCTGTTGTTGTTCTGCTGCTGTACATCTGCATTTAAAAGTACATCTTCTGTCTGTAATGCAAGATGGCAGATAACGAATTACAGTGCGTTCGGTACCAGTCACCAAGAATTACAGCTCAATAAAACAAGTCGTACGTTGACTGACAACGCAAGTCAGACTGAATGCGAACACGGGCTCACGCTCTTTTTATAAGCGCCGTCTCCTTGGCTTTATCTGTGACAGGAGTCTTTTTTTAGAAATTCGGTACTTGTTTATGTATGAGGCTTGTATTAATATTTAAATGAGCTCTGTTCAGATCTGTGTCATGTGTAATACAACCAGATAGATTTCTGGCCCTAATGATTCTGAGTTGTTTGTGTGACGGTGGGTTAGACTAGCATGATTAGACGCGTCAGACGGTTTCCTCTCTCCTAGATGCTTCCTCACGCACTCATTTTCACTCCGGCACACACCTCGAGTGATATGCCGGGCGCCGTGTGATTGACTAAGCAGCACTTAAGCAGGTGAGGACCCTGTAAATAAGCTTTTCCCTCGGAAATGATCTCGTTTTAGTCCCTCCCTCCATCTCAGGCTCCTCTGTGCGGAAGGATTCTGCCACCTGGAGACTGTCGAGATTTGCTTTCCGCATCCCCTCCTTTCCAGTGTTTATATCAGTCGAGGTAATCCAGCCAAATCCAAACTAGCGGAGAGATGGAGTTATAGAGAAAGTGCGCTTTGAGTGTGTGTGTTGCTCTGACAGCAGATTCATTGAGCCGCGCAACTCCATTCACTCATCTGTAGGGTTTTATTTATTTATTTATTTATTTTTGTAAAGCTTTACTAGACTGCAATTTTACTCTACAGTTCCCCTGGTATATAATTTACTTTGAAAGCCATTGTTGGTGCTCTTACAAGAATAATTGGCAAAGACTAACACTATTCGAACTATTCAAACAGTATCTAAAGGTGATGTATCAGCCGTAATTTAGAAAACACAACATCAAGGGGAAAATTGAAGGCTTGCTCTTAAACACGCCTGCCACTTGATTTTTTTTCCTTCACTTTTTTTTTTCCTTCCCCCCACACACAAAATATTTCCTTTATATTCGCAGTGAAACAGATTTTCATGTCAGTATTTTGACAGTTATTTAATTTAGCTGTCTGCACACCCCTGCTTTTTGAATATGTGAATGTTTTCTTAATGACGACAGGTGTCGAGGGTAGTTATGAGAGGGAATGATGAGACTCTTGAGTTAATCATCCGCAGAGCAACAGTGGCCCCTGGAGGTTGTAAGATGCACTGCGTGAGCTTTGCTCTTCTTCATCAGGTGCATAACCACCTTGAAAACCCAATCTGCTGAACTTCAGTGCAAATCATGACATCGGTTATGAAGTATTTCTTGCATGCAAGTATGCCAAAATGTTGCGTTAAACTGTTAGTTCACCCAAAAAGTTCAAATTGACTCAATATTTACTCACTCTCAAGTAGTTCCAAACCTTTATGAGTTTCTTTATTCTGTTATAACATCCATAGTAGGATAAACAAATACTATGGAAGTCTATGGTTAAAGGTTTCCAGATTATTTTTCATGCACTGTAAAACCCAACAGTCATCTTAATCAAATGAAATGAGTCTTTAACTCAAAATTGACAGAAAGTTATCTCTCATTTGAAAAGAGTTTTGAACTCAGTATTAAAGGTAATGAGTTAATTAAATACCTCAATATTACTTGAACTTAAATGGATTAAGTTCACAGTACTCGTATAGATTCGTTTTTAACTCAAATGGTTTGTTTCAATCAGTTTCTTCAAATATTTTGTGTTGCCTTAGCTTATTGTGCTTTACAGTACTCAGTTGGTTTGAGTTCTCTTCATTTATCGGGTTTTACTATGCTCAAATTCCTTCATTTACTCTAATGGATTAAGTTCACAGGACTCATTAGGATTAGTTTTTGAACTTAAATGGTTTGTTGCAACCGGTTTCCTTAAACAGTTTGAGTTATTGGGTTTTACAATGTGGTTAAAAAGAAACGCAAGCCTTTCAAACAAGGGTGATTAAATAATGATAGAACTTTCTTTTTTGGGTAAACTACCTCTTTAAGCTGAATCTGTGCATCGTAACTTGCAATTACACATAAATCAATAAGTAGCTGCTTGTTTGCTGGTTTCAAGTGCTTGTTTACGAGTTTATCCTGCAGTAAGTACCTCATTCATCGTTTGTCTTTCTTTACTAGAGAAATATCCCTCTCTCTTTCTCTCCCTCGCTGTCAGTCTCACTCTTAACACCAATCTTACAACTCACTAATGAGTAAAAGCCTCCCCTCAGGGCCTTCATGTGTAGTGAGAGTCTCTTGAGGCTCTCTAAAAGCTGTAGTGCTAGATTTCATCTTCACATCCAGTTTAGGCTTTCATTTGCACATTCGATTCAATTAGCTGTTTCGTATTGTCCCTTAACAACAGAGCGGTCTGTGCGTTTCACTCGGTTGCCTTATTCAAATGTGCTAGCTTTCACAGAATTGTGACAAAGACCTGGGGACAATGCGGTCCACACCTGGGTGTGAGGACCCGAGGGATTTTCGGTGGTAAATGTGGGACGTTTGGTCTCCTGACAGAACTGTAGAAGTTTTGAAAAATGGAGGTCAGACATAAAGCGTTTCGCACCATCCTTTGGCTGCAGAGAGGAGGACTCTGGGGGACGTGAAGAGAAAGAAATAATTAAAGCCAAGAGAAATTCATTCGCGCCAGAGTTACAGAGAATGTCATTTCCACTGCATTATGCGTCTCTCTTACAAAAGCCCGGGTTAAATATTTTAAAGGCCTGACTGGCTTTCATCTGGCAGCGGCCTCCATTATTGAAAGCGAAATATACTTAAGAAGACAGAGGCTTTACCCCACAGCTAGAGGGTCAGGCGGCTTCAGATGCTGACTTTAAAAGGCCTTGCGTTTGATAACCTCTGGATTCATTGATTATATACAGCTGATGGATTCTGAGCACTGACTCAGAGCTTTGCTTTTTCAATTCAATTAAGGCACTATAGTGGAGCTACTCGATATTTTTTGTGCGCAGGCAATTATATTGTCAGTCTGCCGATTGATTTGTCTACATTCATTAAGACTTTTTTACAATTGGAGCAGAGGTGTTTTTTTTAACATTTATTATTTTTGGGATGAATTAGATAATGCCATTGTTTCTACTGATATGTTGTTTTAACCCTGGTTGTTATATACACGTTTCATTTTGTTTAGTGGAAAAAGATAGAAATGGACTAGGTAGTTAAAAAGGTATTAATAAAATAAACTAATAACTTACAGTTTTATGATTGGTATAGTTTTTCCATAGTTACTCTGATAAAACAAAACTAAATTTGCTAGTCATATTGCAGTTGTTTAACTACTTTAAAATAGACTACTATGTTATAAAGTAACAATGTGATGAAAACCAGCCCACCAGCTCATTTTCAGGGGAGAAATGTGAGTTTGTGAGGGATCAAAAACATTATGGTTGTGCTAGGTGGTGTTTATTTAAAGGTGCAGTAGGTGATCTGCCAAAATGCTAACCGCTTAGCATATTATCTTTGGACGGCGGGGAGGGACTGTGATTCAAAGCCACACCCCCTAAAATCGCGAGCGTGCGCACCGCGTCACAACAGCAGACAGACAACCCACTAGTTCATATCATTCGCTAGTTAGTTAGTGCCAGCGCCGTGCAGGAATTACATGAAATACTTTGCCACACTTACATGCTATTTCAGAGCGAATATTTAGAGTAGCATGGTAAACAGTATAGGAAGGCTGTCATTGTTTAGAAATGACCCAATGTGAATATAAAAGCAACTTCAGCTCAATAAAGCAGTTAAATAGCGCTATTTACTGATGTTTTGTTGTTAAACTAAATATAAATCTACATTATAGATGCTGTCAAAGAACCTTATAAAACTGAAAATACTCACATCAATCTTTCACCAGGAGATTTCAGTGGCTGAACAACACGTCTGTGCATATAAGTCATTCATAACACAACACAATCTAACATAAACTTAGCCGGACAAAGTTTTAAAACAACATTACCTGTCTAACAGTGGTACTACAGCCATGGTGTCGTCTTTCCTCCAGCGTGCTAAAGTAACTCCAATATTTATTCAGGTTTTTTAAAGTTTCAATTCTGCATTTGATTTCTCCCGGTCCGTCTCGTGACCACGCGGCCGCTTTAAGGGCGAATTATACCCGCGCCTGGCTTTACAGTAATCGGCCCGAGCTCGGCTGTCCTTCGGCGCCTCTGGCTCTGACTCTGCATCTGCGAGCGGCCCATAGCTCGCTCGGAGCGCATGCATTTGTGAAGCAGACAGGCACGCGCTAATGGCAGATCTGCGTGAACAGATGCTCAGAAGTCCGAATCTACATATGCTAACAGACAGTCTGACCTGCTTATCGGAATTATGGGAGGTGTCGGTCCGACTCTATTTAATTGGTTGAACATTTTTTACTTTTATGCTTTACCCAGAATATAAAAATACATATAAACACATTTAGATCATTTACTGGAGTCATTACTATTGGACTGTGAAGAGACTTTCAACCAGCACAACAAAAATGTTTCTGAAGACAATCACCTACTTCATCTTTAAAGTGCCAGAAAGTCCATCCACAGTGAAGGTGTATACAAAACGGTTTGAGTTCTCTTCATTAATGGGGTTTTACTGTGCTCAAATTGCTTAGTTTACTCAAATGGACTAAATTCACAGTACTCATTAGTATTAGAACAAAACAGGAACAT